TTTCTTATGTTCAGGATAGGCTTCACTAGGAGTTATTGTAGAGAGGGTTCTATTTCAAGAGGTTCAAACTTTTTTCTTTTTTTCTTTTGAATAGTTAGGACTAAAGAGTCTTTACTCTTAAGACTCAAACTTAAGGTTCAAAAAATTAAAAAAAAAATTAAAAAAATCTTGTGCCTAGGCACATATTAGGTGGGACCACCCGTTCGTGAATCTAGGCCCTAGACAGGGTGCTTCGCTTAGGCACACGTTTTAAAACACATATAAATAAACAAATTATTAGTTTCATGTTATTCGAGCAACGAGACCATTAAAAGAATTTATAGCTTACCATGATCGACAGAAATAGCTGATATAAGAGGACCATATTCTCCAAAATCTGGGATACCGGTTGTCCCTCTTCCAGCCCAGTAGAAGCGGTTTTCTAAAGTATTATCTGTGACAGCTGCAGAGAAGCTTCTTACGATTCCTATATTAACTCCACCAGCTTCATCTTCGATATTGAAATCCTTAAGCACCCGCTGTCCCTGAAATAATTTAACCCAAATACTACTGAACTTTTTGATGCTCAATATGATACCACAATGAAATGCGAATCAAACTGATTCCCATCTCTCAGGGAAAATTTCTATCAGCTGTAAGAAAATAAGAATGGTGGTAAGTATGCAAGCACCTGAATGTAAACATCAAATATGCGCCTTCCAAGGCTGCTGTATGTTCTGTCTTCAGTAAACACGATCTCTGCAAAGTGAAGGTTTACTGTGTACTTTCCATTTCCGAGACAGAACCCATAATAAGATAATGACAGAGGGGAAACCCGTGCATCCATGTAAAGTTGGGGATTTTTCCCAGAGATGCTAGAGTTGTTCCTCCTGATGTAACCATTTTTCTTATCCAGGAAGTGACCCGTGCTGCTAAATCCTCAGTTTGACATCCCACTTTGAAGGAAATTAGATGCCCCTCCAGGACTGTTGTCCATTTCATATGGGATACCATTATCGTCATCTTTTACTTCTCCTCTACCACAATTTATATGAAGGGAGTAATGCACTGATACACAATCCATTTATATGATTCTTACAGTTAAAAAACATATTTAAAAGAGGGGAAGTGCAGGAACTGCATACAAACACAGGAGAAATAATCAGTTTTTACTTGCGTGATAGATTAAATATAGAAGTCAAGAAACATCACCACAAAATCCAAAATCCGGTC